CACACCAATGTTATTGAAATTACCGGACAATGGCAAAAGATCAAAAATATAATAATAATGGTCAAAATACTTGATCACAATTGATTTTCAATCGAAAAATGTTAGTTACTACATGTTACCGCGGGGACTATTTATAAAACCTAATATTAGGAAGCTAATCTCCAACCAGAATCGTGTTTACATATTTCAACTTTCCAGTAAATCGTTAACCATAGTACTATCCTTTCAGCTTGCTTACGACAAGGTGCTGTACACAAGGCGAGCATTGTTGGCCAGACGCAGAGCGGCTGAACGTCACAAACTCCAGAAGGCTGGTCCCGAGGTGTACTTTAAGAAACTGGATCGATCACTTGACTCGAGCCTAGGGCCCATTGCAGAGAAAATACTCGAAGAGCACAATCCCATGGATATCACTGCTTTAGGTAAGGAAGCGATATTCCAAGAATGGTGCGAAACAGATTACCAGAGAGTTTTTTATTTCTACCTCACAGCAACGTTCTAGATCCGATCGATGTACTTGAAGCCGTTACATATCGAAATTTGGATGATAATGGTGACTTCCGAGGATGCAGCCAAGAATCGGTATGATTCTGCCAAGGCTGGCGTGGAGGAAAGTATGAGGCAGTTTGCTGCAGAAGTTCGTCAGTCGGATTTCAAAGTTCAAGGTTTGTTACGTCCCTGAAAAATTGGTTAAAATTGCTGATTTGAGATGGTTGAAAACGAGATTCCAACCCGCGCCATTGGGTCAACTCACTGACTGGTTTCTAGGGCTTCACACATTTTCTTCTGTCATGCAGTGCCTGCCGCGAAGAATGGGAAATTCGGGAAAATACGTAAATGTGGCTAATGCTCTGGCCGTGACACTCTATATGTGCAACGAAAATGTGAGTTTTGCTGGTCCTCTTCTGTCAGCTACTGCGCTTTTGGCTTTATTGTACTTCAATTCCTCGATCCACTATTCATTGTTGATATCTTCGCAACAAGTGGGGTCGTGAGGAGGGCAGGAATGAGCCCGTGCCCAGCTGCCTTCTCATCAATAGTAATCGCTTCACGAAGAGAACAAAAAGCGGTAGAAACTTGCTGGTGGACTCATTCTACTCTCGTGACACCGCCCAACTGATTGCCATGATATCAGCTACCATGCCATGCTCACGCTTTTTTCTTCTTTGACTTTGATTCGCTAATGATATGTTCAGACCCTCACTTTGGTGCAAGAAAGAGACGACTCGGTGGATAAGAATATGTCCGTGAACGAGGGTGAACCTTGGATGGGTAATTTCATAATCACGAACGCTCCAGATGTCCCATCGTTATTGGGTCAGAGTGTTGAAGAAGTTCCGTCCAAAGGTGTTGAAGGTAATATTAATAGTAACGATAACATTGTCGACACCAGCGCATAGCAGAGATTAAGCTTTTTTGTATGTGTTTTGTCAATTTTTCAGCCCGTGTGCTTTGTCTCGAGTGTTTTCGTTTAGTATTTATTTAAGCTTTTTGATCAGCTCTATGGAAAAGTGGTGAAAGTTTATCATTGATTATTGTAGAGTTGTAGGACTGTTGTTTTGAACCAGTCGATGAGTCGTTAAGGTGATCCCAACTTTTCGTTTTGCCTCACTTTCTCTTTGAAGCCTTTTGAAGCTGCCTGTTTCTTTTTACCTCATTACCACTAACTAATGATGCATGTTCTAATTACTACCTCCCTGAGGGTTAAATTTCTGGCATACTAAAAGTGTGCACTACCTTACTGCCGACCTCGTTTCGATCATCAAGATTTGATCTCAGCACATGGCTTCGTTTCCACGCGCCGCTGATTCGCAATGAGGTTATTTGTCTAATTAATTTTCATGGATAATAATGCTCTCTATGCTCTACTTTCATTTGAACAGGTTCTATTGGAGGAATTTCTGGTTAAAATGACAGTTCTTCTTGTTAATTATGGAGTAGAAACGCTGTAATGAAAATTCTGTAAATTAAATTGTTCTGATAATTCTACTGACTTTTAGGCCTGCATAGCTGCAAGGGAGCTGAGCGTACTATTACAGTCGACGCAGACGAACTGCGTATGTTTGGCCCCAGCGCCGGTTTGGACCCATGTGTGTGAAGTCCCGTGAGAAACTCAAATTGCTTGTACATCAGACAACCGAAATACAGTGGTGGTCAGAAGTTTGGAGATGTCTGCTATTTAATTCTAGCATCGCCGAAAAAAGTACTAAATCGTTCCACAGTGAGAGAGGACGAAGAACCGTGAGGGGAAAATTATATGTAGCGCATTTCCCTGAGAATCGGGAATCCGTCTAGTAATCTTCAGTACGACTTTTCTCTCGAGTGACGCGTCATGTCAGTACATGCGTTTTTGTTAATTTTTAGTTTACTGTTATACTTAATCTAGTTTCAATATGGGATCTAACACAGTCTCCCATTACCGTAGGGGAGGGAATTGCTCAGGCCACGCAGTATAGAACGCAGAAAAGCTGGCTGAGAGCTCATCGATTTTTTGGGATACGCTCCAGTAAAGCTGAGCTTTTGCTTGCGGCAGCGTCCACCAGCGTCCGGTTGCTTCATCGCGCACTTCAGAAGAAGTATAGATATCGATCTAGCGTCTGCTACCGTCAACCAGCGCCCACCAGCGTCTCGAGGGCTAAGAAGTATAGGTATCGATTTATCGTCTGCCAGCATGCACAAGCGTCCGGAATAGAGAAGTATGGCGCGATATGAGTGTAGCAGACAGCTGGTAGAGTATGGGGAGATAGGAGGGTGGCAGACTGCAGGTAGAGAGAATGGAGCAATAAGGGGGTGTGTCTGCTTTCCTCCTATCGACGCCAAATACTTTGCAGACGTAGCCATCCGATACCGTCATACTCAGGTAACAGCATCGTTGTAAGGAACGCAAAGGGGGAAAGCCGTTCTTATCATCCGCAAACTTGTGGCAGGAATGGGGGGGAGATCGTGCAAGAGAGGAGAATTAGTAATTGGGCCATTCGAAGGGGAATTTGCTGTTTATTGAAAAACTCCCATAGGTAAGAGTTTATTGACGAGTGAATTTTTATCATGTTCAATTGTAATTATTCTCACCCGCTCGCCTAACTTCCCCTCGCTCCAACCCTTACACGGAAAATGTTTTGTGTGACAGAACATGGGAAAACGATTGGCACATTGGAATAGGATTAAGGTGTTAGAGGGTAAGGGGGAGATCTTAACTGAGACCCTCTTTCCGGAGGACACTACCATTTTGCAGATCACGATGCTATACCCTACCTATACTTCCTTACGCTAGATCGGTACGCTCTCAAAACGCTGGTGGATACTGGTAGACACTGGTGGACGCTGGTAGACACTGGCGAGCGCTTTGAAGTTTAAGCTTCCAAGGTTTTACCTTGGAAACTAAGGGGGCTGGGATGAGTAGAAAACGCTGCAGATATCACTCATCCTCCTCAAGATGAATTAGCCTTATAAGTATAAGAGACAACAAAAATAGCACTTTGTGGATATCAAGGTTGTTCTAGCATAAGCCAACAGTCGTGCATGAGGTACCCAACCCCGCCGCGGAGAGCGAGGCTTCTTCTGCCTATCTTTCTATCATAGTTTTTCATAATGCACAAGTTCGGACTATCGACCATGCTCTTTCTCAGACATTTCAGCTTGAGGATAAAAACATGAAGCTACCCGCTTGACACAATCCCTCTGAAGCCACGCATTCTTTTTCCATTCGGGATCGTTGTGGCTCTCGAGGGCGCTCAGACCTACAGAGTGACCTGCTGGAGCAGCTGATGTGCCGTCGTGTACAACTGGCCTCTTGGCTTGTCGACCAGTCTGGTACCAAAGCACTGCCCCTAAGGGGCTTCGTTGTCCTATGCGGGGATCAAGCCGGGATTCCACGCAACCAGGGCTGTTCTCACACGGAAGGGTGCCACGGACCCGTAGGCCACCATATTCGCTCATTTTAGCGTACCAGTCTGATCGCCCGGCCTCGGCCGGGCAATCCTCCTTCCGTGAGTGAAGTGGGTACCGCGCCAGAGTTTCCGGGAATCGCGCCAGAGTTTCCCTGTGAGGGCCAGTCGGATCGCTTCGCCGTTTGTCAAGAGAAATTTTTTCGAAAATTATCAATCTTTACCGTCTCATCCCTGGACCCCCCCCCCTCTAGAAGGGAGCCCTGCAAGTTTTATATACGACTTTCTCTACATTGATGAGAATTCGCCTGTGCAGGAAGCTCTGAGTTTGTAGCAGCTCTTTGGTTTTAGGAAGAGATTCAGATAGGTGAATTCTTTGGAGCGAACGTTACGCAGTGGGCGCACCTCTCCCATCGCATGTGCGAAATTGTGGTAAGGACAATTTCGCTTAAGGCTGTGAAAATCTGTTGGAGAGGACGGTATACATCTGCATTAGTTAGTGGTTGTATGTTATTGGGACGATCTCTGTATAACAGTGAGAATTTCCACTGTGGATTCAACTCACTGTGAGGATGCCTCGCTCGTTTGACATGTTCCGCTCGTTTGAATAGCGAATAGCGCCCAAAATCACTTCGCGCTTTCCAAGTGTTTCGGAACAGTGATGAATTTTCTGGAGCGAGCGCTGCCCCTGTCGCTATACACCTTCCCCACAGCGGGTGACTCTGCCTTATTTCGATGGCTCACGCGTTGCTCCCTTCGACTATTTTTCCAATCCCTTTACTCACTTCTAGGCCTTCAAGGATTTTTGGCTTCGGCGGACCGCCCACTACTTTCCTCATTGGTCCGAATAAACACACGGACAACTTCTGGTTTATATATAGACTTGGCGAAAATCGTAAGCTTTGTGAGAAGTGTTCGAATCGTGATATTTAATGATACTTAATAGACACATGGTACGCTCACACATTGAGGGTGTATGAGACTATCAGCCCCCCACCTCCGTCGATGTGTCGTGGTCCCCCGCCCAAAACTGCACGGGGTCAGAGTAGTCAGAGTACGGAGCCGTGGGAAAGTAGTACTTCCTTGCTACACCGCCCATTTCGCAAACTCACGTTATGCTAACACCGTCCGCGCGGCGCGTGTCGCGTGCAGCTCTCTTGGCTTTTTGCCAAGTCCTGTAATTGCGCTTTGGAATACAAGTACAACGCAATTTCTTTATGCGGATAACATTTTAGGTGCTGCAAAATAAGAACCGAAGATGATGACAAGGGCTAGAACTCAAGAGCAACTGTGGTGCTTCTGCAATATCCCTCAGAGGCCGCGCATTCCCACAAACATGAAAATAAAAACGGCCTAAGCGTCCCACTCGTTAGTTTGAAGTATTTCTATAGCTTTAGAGCCGGATTCGAGCCGGATCGCAGAAATGCACACGCGATTTTAATTAATTTGTTTCCTTAGTTTTTTTCAATTTTGTTTTATTTACATCTACATTCGTTGTTCTTCATTTCTAGCCTTTGTCATCTTCATCACCTTCTATTCGGACTTTGAAGCATGAGCAATACCTCAAATGTTAGGAAATTGCGTTTTGCTTGTATTGTCATGTTGTCCGTTTTTATTGTCATGTTCTGTGGGAATGCGCGGATGTTAGCATAAACGTGAGTTTGCGAAATGGGCGGTGTAGCAAGGAATTACGACTTTCCCACGGCCCCGTACTCTGACCCCGTGCAGTTTTGGGGGACCACGACACATCGACAGCTGGGGGCTGATAGTCTCATACACCCTCAATGTGTTTGAGCGTACCTCTTTAAACACGGGCACTACATGGTGTTTTCAGTGTGAGTGGTTATTAACTATTATGTGAAGCCTGTTCGAAAGAAAAAACCTAAGGTCCGAAAAACAGTTGGCCTTTTGAAACCGTTCTCAAGTCTCCTGCGTATCACATAATGCCAAGCTAACGATGAGAACTTCAGCCGTTTTAGTAAAATCGTCCCTGTCGTTCACTTCGCATCTGGGCTATAGTGGAAGGAAAACATTAACGTTCTGGACCCTAATGGGAGCTTGATCAGTGCCCATTCTGTCCCTTGCAGAGGATAATTAGTTGAACATCTGCGAGATGGGGCAAAGCGCAAGCGCTTGTTTTGCACTTTCGGCGAGCTATCCCTTCAGTTGAATGAAGACATAGTTAGCAGCGCATCAAAAGACATTTCTGTTCGGTGGAAGTGATCAAGTGTTTGCGCATAACGATCAGAAATCCTTTGTACACTTTCTCCTTTCATGCGCCGCCCGGAACCATGTTCCGGACCCAATCGACGCGAATGATGTTTTATAGCCTTCTATCCCCGATTTCCCCACAAAAACGATTTCATGCGGCGAAATAATTATTTGGACGGATCATTCAGTACTTGTTCTGAACTACGAACGGCAGAGCTGTTTCTATCATGATATTTTGCTTAAACTGTGGAAGTATTACATTCTTAATCACGTGGTTGCTTTGGAAAATGATTTCTTTCTTGCAA